TGGCGATGACGCATTCGGACCCTATCCTTGGGAATCGTCTGACTCCAGTGATCCTTGTATGTTCGTCAATCTCTAGATAGTGTTAGTTTAAAATTCAAAAGCCTAAAAGTACTGTTTCTTTTTTTCCTTTTGCTCCTTAAATTTTGAGATTTTAAGCTATGTGATTCATATTACTTAATTTATTTATTTAAAGGCGAATTAGGCTTTACAACTAGAGGATCCGTAGATCTCAACGCTTATCATAAATGCAGGGTAAGATTGCGTATAATAGACACTTGTGGTCCGGTCCTTCCCCAGACTCCTACATAGCAGAAGCTTAGTGCACGGTGCTATCATTTATTTTAGATACTGAAATGTAGAAACAACAATGGAGCTTAGCTAGTTGGTGGTGTTTTAAAAGAAATACTAAGGATTAGCTGAGGCATACAATTAGGATTTTGTTTTGATGTATGTGTTGAATTGTAGCTCTTGTTTCCAGTAGGCAGAGATACTTGTTTAGGATTTCATACAAATTAGATGCTAAAAGTTCATTCTTTATTTATAGTTTGCCTTTTCCATTTTACATAGCATTCCATCTTTGTTTAGAGTTATTTTTTAGTGTTGTATAGTTTAGTTTATGTCTGTGTGTGTAAAGATTTTTTAATCTGGAAATAGTGTTGCTCTTTTATATCAGGAAAAATTGTTCTTGTAGTAGTTTCCTTGTCTGTTAATGTTAGATTCCTAAGGCATTCTTCAAGGGTGTTCTACCTCAAAATTAAAGTCAATTGACATTCTGCTTAAAGATTTGAGCGAAAAATTGGTTTTAGGTTCAATTATCTTCTGTGAGAGGGTAGTTCATTGAGAAGTTGTGTTAGTAGATATTTATTCATGGATTTCAATTTAGTGACCATGAAGCACTAGTATGTCAATAGATGTTTTATACAGTTTCGTATTGTGGATTTTGTGACAATACACCCTTTTTTGGAGGAAGCTAAAGTGGACTGTAGTTTGAAATGCTTCAAGAATGACTCTCAAAAAACCCTTTACCTGCAATGCATTGCGTGTTAAGTTGTGCAAAGAATTTGTTAAACATTTTAATCAGATTTCGTAATCAGAAAATCCTAATACAGTTCAAGTTAAGTATACTGTGGTTGATGTTGTTATTTGCATCTTGTCAAGACTTTTTAGGGACACCATCTTACACAGTGATAACCTAAATTTTGGTAATGGAATCCCTATTGTAAAAGAATTAAAATATTTTGTCAGGTTAGAAATGCATAGCTAATTGTAGGAGAGAATGAAGCTTTGTAAATTTGTAGCGCCTCCAAACTTGATGCTTAGCATATATAAGTAACTTCTAGAATGCTTCAAAATTGGAGCTTACCCATCTGACCTCCTCGAGGATTGGATACTTTTTTATTTATTACAGACTTTTTTTGATTCTGTGTGAGATGAAAGAGAGCAGGTGAGGCATTTCTGTTACGATCGTTTGGGACAGAAATGTTTCAAGTGTATCTTATCACATTGGTCCAGTGACTCCAACTCTGTCCTGAAACATCAACCACTTTCATTGGTTTATGTGCAAGAATCTTGTTCTATGACAGGTCCATATATTTGATGATCTCTCCCTCCTTATATCTGGTAAACTAAGTAGCACAAAATTAAACTCTGAAAAGATGTACGTCCCCTCATGTATGATGCATACTTCGGACTCCAAAAGTCCCCTCGCATTGACTCAAATGAAAGGTTAATTATTGGTTTGATATTTTATAGCATTTATTTCTTTTGAACTTTTCTTTCTCCCCATTTTATATATAGATATAATTCATCATTTAATCAGGATATGTCTTCACTTATAGTCTCTTGGCTGTCATAGTTGATTAACCTTTTTGTTTGAATTTAATTATTTGTTTTTGAAGTTTTCCCTGCTATTTGCAGCTATGCAGTGGGTACAGGAGGAGAAAATCACACTGTTCACTGCTGATGGACTCGTTCAACTTGGGGGAAACATGGTTAAGCGACGGATATCTTCGTCTGATGTATGCTTATTTCCCCCCATCAGTTCTGTGCATGTTTTTCTCACCATTCTGAGCAAAAAGGCATAATGGAATTTCATTCCTGTATTTTCTTGTAGCGAATATAGTTCATTCATTGAATCTCTAAACACTGTTAGGTGTATTAGTTTATTCTAGTTTGGAAGATACACAATATACTTGTAAGAACTGAATAAGTCTGCAGTTTGTAGAAGTTCTTGAGACACGCTGTATAATATCTTCTTGCCATTCTCGTTGCTTCCCTCTTTCCATACTTCATCCGCTCTGTTTAATAAAGATAATTGCTTTTGCAATTGATTTTGCACATCTTGTCTGATGTTTTACTTTGAAATGCAGAAGAAGCAAGGAAAATTGAAAGTGTCTCCAAGACTTCAACGATTTCGCGAGAGCAGTTACATGGATCCAAATCAAAGCCTCTGTTTAGGTGCTCTCTTTGACATTGCAGCAACTAATGTAAAGCTTCTGCTACTTGTCAACTTCTAATGTCCAATGTTTATGTTCATCTTAATGGGAATTGGAATTGGTGACTTTTCCAGGGCCTTGACATGGGCAGGAAACTATGCATAATTGGATTTTGCCGTTCTATAGAGATGTTGAGCGACGTTGTGGAAGACACTGTTCTTGAGCATGGTGGGGAGGTATTTCTTATATCACCTCTCTTTTTTGGTTCTGATCCTTTCATGGACCAATTTGATTGGCGTTGCATGACAAGCCCGAGCTTCCCTTGCACACTTTCTTTATGAACTCATTGCCTTTCTGATCATCTCGTACATCTTGACCTATAGACCTGTTATTATAGGCTCGTAGGTCAACTTAGTTAGGCCTCAAATATCATTAGCGTTGAGAGTGTGGATGGTAATTGAAGCTGTTTTGACATCAAGTAGGTTTACTTTTAGGTTCTCTCTTCTTTGGTAATTCAGTATGAAATTTCAGATCAGGTAGTATCATTTCCTTTATTAGAGTTTCATAACTTATTTAATGGTTCGACAAATTATCTTTTCGTGCTACAGATTGTCTCTGCGGAGAAAGCCAGCAAGGGCGATATGCAGGAAAAGCTAACTATGACGGTTGCAGTACCGCTACTATGGGGGGTTCCTCCTGCGTCTGAAAGGATCCACCTTGCAGTTCGAAACGGTGGAGGCATTGTAGATAAAGTTTTCTGGCGATGGGACTTCCTGTAGATAAATATCTAAGCTCCATAGCCTTTGTTTGTTTGTGCATTTGTAAATATTATTGTCATTCTTCTGTACAAAATTGGAATATGTAACTTAATCTGTTACAAACTAGTTGTTAGTCCATCCTTCATTCTGAATTGTAAAGTGGGCACCTCAAGAATAACAAATTACCTGTCAATAAAAAGTGTTGAATTACTTTGGCTATCATGACATGTTCATCAATTGTGAGCCAGTTTACATATTTCCATGGCCAAACACATATGCAGACCCTTAAACTTGTCTCTAAATTTCATTTTGACACTCTAACTCAACCTTGTTCCATTTTAACCTTTCAACTACAATTTTTATGTTCCATTTTAGCACTTCTAAGTGATGTGGCAGAGAGCGTGCATCACACATTCTCTAAGAGAGTGAAAGACAAAAAAAAAGATTTTTTAAAAAAATAATAAAAGATTATCCTTCAACTCTATTTCTTTTATGTACCATTTAACACAAAATACTAATTTTATGATTTCTTTATTTCTATATGTGTTATTCAACTGCAATTTTGCATTTTAAAAATCGACGATCATCCGTTAATTATTGTAAAAAATTCAAACTGAAGGACTATCATTGTTTTTTTTATAAAAAAAGTAACAATTTCTTTTTAAGAGTTTTCCTATATTTTGGCGTGAAAAATAACCGACGAAAGTGCGTCGATTTCTTTCTTAAAATAATCAATGACAACCCAACGAAGTCTATCGAGTTTCAACATTTTTTGGTAGTGCTATTAATTAGCAATGAACATGAGTTTTTTCTTACTCGTATTTAATTAGTTGAATGAAAAATTAGAAAGCTGATATTTGAGTTAGTCCAAGTAGACTAGATATGGAAAAAAAATATATATGTGATGTTATTTAAATTAACTAATTGTTTTGTTAAAAAAAAAAAAAACAACCCACTTTCGCAGATTATTTTTTCACACAATAAAGTACAGAAACTCTAAATTATTTTTTCTAAAAAAAAACAATGTTCATCCATTATTTTTTAACACAATAATGGCATGTGAAGTACGCACATCTCACTTTGTTGGTTCTTTGGAAAGAAGTGCCAAAATGGAACATAAAATTTGAAGTTGAAGGGTTAAAATAGAACAAGATTGAGTTGGAGTGCCAAAATGAAATTTAAGGATAAGTTTAAGGGTCTGCATATGTGTTTGGCCTATTTCCATTGTATACACAAAATATAGCAATCCTACAATTCAGAAACTAAAAAAAAAAGAAAAGGACAAAATGGATTGAGTTAGTGAATTAGGGTTATTTGATCCGCTCTAAAGTTACTTATAATGAAATGAGTTGAATTGAAATATGCTGAAATGTGGATCAATTTGATAATATAAACAATCTGTATTACTCTCCCAATCTCAATTTATGTGACTTACTTTCCTTTTTAGTCAGTCCCAAAAAGAATGACACATTTTTATATTAAGTAATAATTTAACTTTAAAATGTCTGTTTTCCCTTAATGAAATGATTTATAGTCACACAAATTCCTATCATCCATTTTAGACCATAAATTTTAAAAGTCTTCATTTATTTCTTAAATTTCGTGCCGAGCTACAGTACCTCTCATAAAATAGAACCGAGGGAGTATCTTTCATGGACACAGTACTCCACATATGTCAGGCTTATTTTAATTCCCCTTCATCATATTTTATGTGAGATCTACTTTTTTCTACAAAGAACACTCAATAATTCAAAAACAATAATGTATAACCAATTATTTTAATATATCTTCTATTTCCTTTTTTTATATTGTTCGACTTCTTAATTCTAATGAAATGAAGGTTCCTACCATAGATTTCTGCAAGTCAGAGCTAAAACCAGGTACTACACAATGGGATTCCACAAAATCTCAAGTTTTTCAAGCTTTGCAAGAGTATGGTTGTTTTGAAGCAATATATGATAAGCTTAGAAATGAAACTTTAGAAGCCATGTTTGGTAGATCAAGAGAAATCTTTGAATTTCCATGGGAGATCAAAATGAAAAACTTGTCAAAGAAATTACCCTTCAATGGCTACATAGGGAAGCTACCAACATTACCATTCTATGAGAGTGTATGCATTGATGACTTGCTTCAACCTGAAACTTTTGCTAATATCTTCTGGCCTGAGGGAAATCCTGAGTTTTGGTATGTTACTTCTTTTAAGATTTTGTATTTGTCGTTTTTCTTTCTTTTTTTGGTAACTGTGATTTTGTCGTGAATCTCTTCATCATACATTATACCAAACACACCCTATATGATAAATCTATTCTATGTCTCACATAACAAACAATTAATTATGTGAGGCTCTCTTATTGCTTGAAAAGTGGAGTCATGTGTCCCCATTTGCTTGTTTTACAGCAATGTAGTAAAGTCCTACTCAAAGCCACTAGTGGAATTGGATGAGATGGTGAAAAGGATGGTTTTGGAGAGTCTAGGACTACAAAATTACATTGATCAATTCTTGGATCTCACCACTTTCCAATTGCGATTAACCAAATACAATGCAGATCAAGATGACGAAATTGGGAATAAACCTGGAATTGGTGACCATACTGATGGTAGCTTCTTGACCATAATATCCCAAAATAAAGTAAATGGATTGCAAATTCTCAAGAAAAATGGAGAGTGGATTGATGTTGATATTTCATCGAATTCGTTCGTTGTTCTGTCTGGGGATTCCTTCGTGGTAAGACTACTTTGGACTGTTTTTCCTTGAGTCGGGGGTCTTAATGGAAACAACTTCTGTACTTCTAAGGTAGGGGTAAAGTTTGTGTACACTCTACCCTCTCCAGACCCTTCTGGATATGTTGTTGTATATGTAGACATCGAGTCAATTGCAGTTGATGCTATCGTCTCGATGTCCACATACTACATCTTCCTTTTTTGTTTGGTAAGTAACAATAGAACCAAAGAGATGTTTACATACTATTCCTGGGACCATGGTATTAAATATTAATCATGAGGTTAAGCTCTTTGTCTTAGATTAACATAATTGTGCAAATTTATACAGGCATGGACAAATGGTCGATTGCATTCTCCTCTCCATAGGGTAACGATGGCCGGAGAAAATGATAGGTTCTCCATTCAGTTATTTGCTGATCCAAAAACAGATTGCACCATAAAGGCCCCAAAAGAACTCGTGGATGAAGAACACCCTTTACTCTTCAAGCCATATGACATGCTTGGTTATTTTGAGTTTTTTGGTACAGAAGCTAGACGGGAAGCTGGCCCCAATGTTCTCAAGGCTTATTGTGGTGTATGAATTATTGTAGTTATTAAAGCTTCAACTTGTCAAGGACTATCAGAAATAGTCTCTCTATCTCTGCAGTAAAAATAAGATCTGCATATGCTCTATTCTTTTCAGACCCTACTTCGTGGGACTACACGGAATATTGTTGTTTTTGTTGTGAAGCTTCAGTTTCCTGTAACTTAGGTCGGTAGCTCATGCTCTTCATATTACTTGGACTCTCTTTTTGCTTGTACTTCCTCTGTTTCGTATTATTTGGTCTATGTTGATATGGCAACATATATATCTCTTAAGAAAATCTTGATGAATTTGAAACTTTTAGGGCAAAGGACCAATTTGAACACTTTTTATAATACATTAAGGGGGCGTTTGTTTACTGGTTAGAGTTATGCAGGTATTAGTTATACATGGTTTAGTTATGCAGGTATTAGTTATGCAGGGTTTAGTTATGCAAGATTTCGTTGTGCAGGTATTAGTTATACAGGATTTGGGTTTAGTCATGCGGGTATTATTTAGTTATGTATAAATTATAATACATGAATTATTAACTATTGAATATTAAATTTGTTGTAAATTAATATATATTATTTAATTACAAATAAATAAGTATACAAATAGTATAAATTCTCCCTCTTTTCAAAAAAACGTTCTCCCTCTATACTTAACTGAGACTTTTGTTTTTTCATTTTAGTAATTTTTTTTTTATGTTTATAGCTTATAAAAATAAAATGCCATTAATATATTTCAAGTACATTATAATATCCTATTTTATATAATGTAAATATTCTATCTATATATTGTATATATATTTTTAATATACCAAATATATGAATTAGATATAAATTCACGTCCTAAACAAAATAATAATACATGTTAATTAAATATGTGAAATTTATTTAATAATACATAACACTTATATATGATTAACATATTCGCCGTCAAAATATTTACAATCCAATTTATAATATTAATAAAGTATTTATATTTGGAATCCAAATGAAACAAAAAAGGTTCGGGTTTAAAAAATAAAAGAAAAAAAAGTTAGGAAAACTGTATAGTTAGGTAAAGTTCTCAATAATTAATGATTTAAAAATTAATTAATATGGGTAAATGTGTAATTTATTATTTTAATGCATGTATAACTAATACCCGCATAACGTATTCCATCTTCTATCCCGCATAACTTATATATAGATTCCCTCATAAGTTATGTTGGTATTAATTATATAGGATTACAAAAAGCACAACCAAATACCGTATAAAATAAATACATGAATAACTTTTATACAACATTTTAGAACCCTACCAACCAAACATGGTATAAGTTATGTTGACTTTTCAACCTAATAAAAAACTTCTACCAAACACAGTACAGCTAATACAACATTTTATACATGAATAAGATGTACTCTTATACAGTAACCAAACAGCCCCTAAGGAGTATATGAATCATATCAAATATATTAAGGACCAAAATAAAATAACCCCAATACAGTAAGGATCATTTTGATTATTATCACAAGTTTTAAAAATCTTTCTTTTTTTCTTAAATTTCGTGGCGAGCCAAAGTACAACGGAGGGAGAGTATATTTCATGGACACAGTACTCCACATATGTCAGGCTTATTATAATAATTCTTTCCCCTTCATCATATTTTATTATGTGAGATCTACTTTTTTTTCTACAAAGAATACTCAATGATTCAAAAACAATAATGTATTACCAACTATTGTAATATGTCTTCTATTTCCTTTTTTGATATAGTTGACTTCTTAATTCTAATGAAATGAAGGTTCCTACCATAGATTTCTGCAAGATAGAGCTAAAACCAGGTACTATACAATGGGATTCCACAAAATCTCAAGTTTTTCAAGCTTTGCAAGAGTATGGTTGCTTTGAAGCAATATATGATAAGCTTAGAAATGAAACTTTAGAAGCCATGTTTGGTAGATCAAATGATATCTTTGAATTTCCATTGGAGACCAAAATGAAAAATTTGTCAAAGAAATTGCCATTCAATGGTTACATAGGGAAGCTTCCAACACTACCATTGTATGAGAGTGTATGCATTGATGACTTGCTTCAACCTGAAAGTGTTGAAACTTTTGCTAATATCTTATGGCCCGAGGGAAATCCTGAGTTTTGGTATGTTACTTCTTTTAAGATTTTGTATTTGTCGTTTTTTTTTTTTTTTTTTTTTTGGTAACTCTTTAGGTGTGATTTTGTGTTGAATGTTACCTCTTTAGGCGTACATAGATGTAATGACCCGGATTGTCATTTTTAGAAATTTACATAAAATTACCATTTTTACCCCTCTCAATAGTTGACTCGAGTAATTTTTGATTAGTCGGTGAAGTTGATTTGGAAATTTTGAACTATTCGTTTAACTTAAATTAATTAATCGATAGTTAGTGGGTTAAAGTGGTCATTTATTAAAGACTCTATACCACTTGACCATGGGTTAAAATGAATTAAATTATTTGGGGTTTAATATTTGAGTCATAACTGAAAAAGGAAAAGAAGAAAAGGGCGTAGGGTTTCGGCATCGTGAGTTCGATCTGCCTCAGGTACTGCATCAAGTGCTCTGCATGCTCTTCATTAATTTCTACATACGTATATGTGTGGAAATAATAAAATATTAGGTAGGAAAAGGAGGATTTGCTTCATAAGTTTGTAGATAAGAAACAGTGTTAATATTATTGTTATTATTATTATATTTCTTTTCGTTTGTTGTCAATTTATGGGGATGAAGGGAGTTGAACTGTTAGGAGTATATATATAAAATTATTTTTCATACATGCCATCTCCAGTTTCAAGTAGTAAGTTGAATTCTCACTAAATGAGTTAGATTATTACTCTATATATGTTAAGGCCTAATTGATTTCTTGGGGAAAGAATAATGTCATTGTTGTACACTTGGTGGGTTTTGAAAATTGTGAGGATAAAGTTAAGATTACATATTATAAATTTAGGAACCTGCAGGTGACATATTAATGTCTTTATTTTGTCGATTCCCACCACTGGTTTCATAACCAGTGGTTCCGAAAATTGGTAATTCTTATGTTATTATCACATTGTATATTTAATTTTGATATATTAAAATAGGTCATTAAACATTAGGTATATTGTATTTTTGTGAATGTCATTAGATTTACGATAATTGAAGGAATTGGAAGAATTGACAAGTTAATGGGCATCAAGACTTGAGAACTTAATTATAAATTTGGGTAAACTTTTGGGTTTAGGCTAAACCTATAGTGACATGAGTGTTGTTAGTTTCGGAATCTTATTGTGACTATGTACTTGAATAGATTGCATTGATTTGGAAGCTCAACGAAAAGGGAAGGCTCAAGTTCCAGAGTGATTGTTCGATTATTTGAGGCAAGTGGATTTCTAAACCCTTGTTAAGCGTATGGAATTCGTGTATTTCCTTGTGGTGTATGTTTGGGAGTAATGTGATCAATTGTTTGTGTAATGTGTTGAGAATTGTTTGAAAGACTTGTTGCATCATCGTTGAAGTTGTGATTTGTGCAATGTTATAAAAATGGTCATCTCCTTATTATTTGTGTGAACATGTCATTTACATTGTTCTGAGACGTGGTTGTGACAAGTGTTATGTGCATTAAGAAAGAATAAGAAATTAAGGAGGATGTACCATTTCGAGGGACGTATCGCGCGCCGCGATGGATACTATATTTCGAGGGACGTGTCGCGCGCCGCGACTGATATTATATTTCGAGGGACGTATCGCGCGCCGCGATGGATGCATGGACAGATATGTCCCCCATGGGTCCCGGACTGAGAGACAGCGGGTGTGTATCATTAGGTCAGACATGCATCACTATACTTGACATTGCATTTCATTGCATTGCACCTTTTTATTATTGATGAACTTGATCTTGTGTGTTGCTGATCTTGTGTGTGCCTTTCTGTGAAAATTTGTTATTGAGAATATATGATCTGTTAGAGTGCTGTTGTTGAGCTGTATGCTTTGTAAACTGTGAATTGTTAGGTTGGGTTGGTTTTATGCAGGTTGTAGTTATGGAGGTTAGGATGGGGTGTAAGGAGTACCCGTATTTTGTACCCTTAGCTTGTGTTTAGAGGTTTGCTTGTTGAGTACCGTGTGGTTTGGTACTCACCCCTTGCTTCTACAATATTTTGTAGGTTACGAGCCCGGATCTTCGTGATACCTTCCATTCTCTTCGTTTCCGAGGCTTTCTGTGGAGATCTGAGAGGTAGCTATTTGTCATCTCAGCGAGCCTCCTTACTCCTGTTTATGATTTTGTTTTTACTTGAAAGACAACATCATTTGAGACTTGAGTATTTTATTTCAATTCTAGTAGTTACATTAGAGGCTTGTGCACGTGACAACCAGGTTTTGGGGATTGAATTAAGTTGACTTGTTTTCGTAATAGTAATTGTTATTGAACTTTGCTTTATTTTCGCACTTTATAGAAATGATTGGGTTTTAGGCTGACTTGTCTTGGTGGGATACGACGAGTGCCATCACATCCATTTTTGGGTCGTGACAAAATGGTATCAAAGCCCCAGGTTCATAGGTCTCACGTGCATACAAGCCGAGTCTACGTAGAGTCTCAAAGATCGGTACGGAGACGTCTGTACTTATCTCCGAGAGGCTATAAAGACTATTAGGAAACTTCCCTTTTGTTCATTCTTTCTCATCGTGCGTGGTTACCTTCTTTAGTACTGAGTTATTGTATACTCTTTTGACAGATGACGAGGACTAGAGCGACGGTTACTGGTGGTAGAAGGGAGGCACTTCCCGAGGCAGTTGTTGAGGCCCCAGCTAGGGGTAGGGGTAGAGCCCGAGCTAGAGGTCGTGCTCGTGGAACGACACTAGGCAGAGGTCGTGGCCGTGGAGCAGCACCGGTTAGAGGTCGTACTAGAGAGGCCTCTCCTGAGCCTCAGATTGATGACAGAGAGGACCAGGTTCCTCCAGAGCCTGCAGTCACACCTTTGCTTCAAGATACATTATTGAGGGTGTTAAGTGTGCT